AATGGTTACACATTAAATACAAGAAATAAAAAAATAAAATAATTAAAACTGCCCAGATACCGTTTTTGTTATTGATGTAGACTTGTCATGTGGTGTATGCAGTTGAAATAATAATTGTTGAACAATTAACCATGAATCGTAACACTCTTTTGAATACAAAAAATGTTTTAAAGCACACCTCTAGTGCAATTAAAGGATCCTCGAAACACCAAAATCTCTGATTCACTCGGACATAGCAAGATGATATTGACTGTACATCTTCCCCAACAAATGCTATATATGGTTGAATTGTAGCTCCGTGATGCAAGTATTTTATTTCTCTTTGGCAAAAGTCTTCATGAAACTTTATCATATTCTAAAAAAATTGAACAATAACATATTTTAAAAATGAAAAAAAGTACACTTACAATAAATTTTATATGCCAGAATAATAATCATTAAAGTATCATATTTAAGTACTAAATTATATTTATATTTTAAATATCTTACCGGTACATGTATGGCAAAAGATGAAGCCGATTCTATCAATGATGGCTTCCAAAACTTGGTTTTTACATTAACATTATTATTTTTAATTTGTGTTTTAGTAGGGATAAGGTATGGCACTAGTAATAAACTAATAATAATGTTGGATCTTAAATCTGGAAAAAAAATACCACTTGTTATACTTTTAATGTTTTATAAAATATGTGAACAGATATTTCATTCATTGGTATATTTTACTCGTTTTAAAATTAAATTCATTTGACTCACCTCCATTTAAGTATGTAGTATCTAACAGTGTTAATAGTGTTAGAGCATATTTATCTTTTATGGACGATCTTCTTATAATAACCAAATGTTTAAAAAATTGTTCACATGAATTCATGTATGTGTTCCTATCATCAGTAATTGCATGAGTTATTAGGTTTCCAATTTTGAAGTCTTCAAGAACCTAATGGCATAATTAATTTTGTACTTTTACATTACCTAGTACTTATCATATTTGAATAAACAAATTTAAAAAATATAAGTACATACCAGTTTATAACCCTTAGGACTCTGGAATATTTGCCATTTCAAGAAAATATCTGATATTAACTGCTCATTTGATTCAAAAATATCATATTTTCTAACTTCAAATGTAATTAGCCATTTTTCTTTTATGATATTGAGATTAGAAAAATTAAGTCCATCAGTCTGAAGCCATTTTGTGGCAGATTTAACTTCTTCTATAATAATGAAACGGCACAAAAAAGTTTTCAATTGATTTTATTATTATTTTGAATACCTAATATCTTTAGAATTATTAAATTTACCTGAAAAATTTGGAAGTGAGGAGGGTGTTGCTTGGGTAGCAACTGTTTTTTTTCTTTCACAAGAAATTGCCCCAGCCAATCTTAATTTGCGTGCAACATTTTTCCAACGCTCAATCAATTTTCCCTTGGCATGAGCTTGATGTTAGCCTTCAGTTTTTGAAGGTATGAAATAAACACTCTATATAAATTATATAAATTAGTATTTATTGTAGTATATTATAGTAATTAGATCCATTTTTATTATTAATCCCATTATTAATTTACTTTTTGCTCTTTTGGAAATACTTCCACGATTAACTCAGATATCTCCCTAAAGAATAAATCAGTACCTCTGTAACAAATTTTTAAATAGTTTTATTATTTAGTATATTAGGTGTATGTAGTACAATTTAATAATATTATATCGGTACCATTAGAATATATATAGGTATAATATACATACTTATATATTATTTTTAGTTGAAAAGGGGGATAAAGTAACATTTAGGTATCTATTGATATTTAATGTTAGGTTTATTAAAATCCAAAAAAAAACTTAATCAATTGTATCATTATATATTATTAATGTTGGTAATATTATAAAGTACCTATAATTTATTAATAAACACAAAATTATATGATTCAATTATAAGCAATTAGTATATCCATGAGTTAGGTACTATTATTATGATGTAGTAACAATATTAAAATGGCATACCCATAGGCGAATCTACAGGGTGTGCCTGGTGTGCCAGGGCACACCCTGCGACTCGTATAAAGTTGTGTAGGGCCCATAATACTCATTTCAGTTACAATGGTATTGAGTCTAAACATTAAACAATTTGTATTTTAATTTTAATACATTTTTATGGGTACAAATATTGTCAATAAATGTTATCGTGATAAGCATAGTTGATAAAAGATCAGCAATATTATCAAGAAAAGAGAAAATATGTATGTTTATTTATAGCACTGCTATAGTCGTAATTTATATTCATAATCATAGTTATTTWATGTAATTTAATTTTACCAGTAATTATTATTTTTATGGTTGACAAAATGAAAAATACTTTATTTCGTATAAAGTATTATTGTATTAACATTTAACACAGAAAAATAAAGCTTAACACGTTCAATGCCACTGTCGACGGGTAGTCGACAAATATAGTGTTCACTTTGATGGTTTATAATTTTTACTAGCTACGGGATAACGGTCTGAAATTTATTGTAGGCGATCAGGTTCCTTCTTACGAATCTAACGATACCATTGGTTTTTAATTTTGTTTATTTTTGGTTTGGATATTTATTTTTCCCCGAAATCACGACGACGTTTATCGCCGATAATAATTGTATACCGTATCATTATAACTCGGTCGCAATTTGACATAATAAATGGTATAAATAACATTCCCAACACTAACATAATATTCATACAAATTATTTTATGCTGTATACACCGTGTTCCTCAGAATACAGGGTGATTCGAAAATATAAAACTATTTTTATTACGCAATGAAAATTTTAAATTATTACAAACTGTATTATTTGTATTTTATGAATAACATTATTTTAACCGTCACTCTATAATTATTTATTTAATAATATATGAAATAAATTATTATTTTCAATTAGTTACATACTAAGATAAGTACGTATTTCAGCGTCGCGCCGTCGCGTATCGCCGGTGTCGACGCATAGTCGACCGTACGTAGTTTCGGCGCGGCGACGAGGGCACTGCGCCGTAAACACTAGCGGAGCTCAACGTGTTAATATCATGTCGCCTAAGAATTCAAGTGGTCACTCAAAAAGAGTGTTAAAACAAAAAAAAAACCGGTCAAGTGCGAGTTGGCTCGCGCACCGAGGGTTCCGTAGTCCGTACAAACCTGTAGGTATATAAGTAAAAGTTTACCCATCACGACAATCGAGTCATAGTTATGGTATTTTTATTGCAAAATTAAATTTATAACATCAAAATATGGAAAGCTGGAGGATCATAAATACGCGTTCGTGAGGAA